CTTCAGACTCTTACCGTCATACGTAGCTGTAGGAGCCCAACATGAATCCTGGTCTTCCTTTTTCTCTTTGCGCTAAAATAAATTCGCGATATTTTGCTTCCGTAATCATCTCCAAGGCATTCGAATGAGCCATATCGAAAAAGTTGTCCAATCCTTCGTTGAAGGCTTTTCTTTGCTCAGCAAATTTTTCGTTAATGCGAGAAATACTTTTTTATGTTTGTCTGTTGTCCTTATTGGTATACGAGCTCTGACCCAAACTTGTTCTGCCGATTGAACCACCTTCCAGTATAATGAGAGAGAGAAGGATTAGTAATTTCCATTTAATTCCACTACCTTATTTGCTTATCCTTGACAGATACGCGTATTTAGTCTACAATGTGCAGACTTCTTTAGTGTCTTGTACTAATACTCGACTACGACTATTGTCTATTAGTACAAGACACTGAAGAAGTCTGCACATTGTAGACGAAAAACGCGTATCTGTCAAGGATAAGCAAATTAGGTAGTGGAATTAAATGGAAATAACTAATCCTTCTCTCTCTCTCATTATACAGGTATTCCACTAAGACGCCCACATTCATCAGGATTCACCTTCCAGTACCATTGTCGTATCGTGGAGCGAGATTGTGCGCGATGAAAAAAGAAGACCTGCAGTACTTCTCGGTTACTCGGAAGTTTTCCACCGGTGAAGCTGGTAATGGAGCTGACTGATCAACCACTTCTCCGTATCACTTCACAACTCAATGGCACTATTGTGTCCAGAGATGACAGCACAATATGTTTATGAACATTGAGGTAAAAAAATCTGGCAAAGCATACTATGAAATATGCCCTATCAGCATACCTGGTTTTCTGCTCAAATCAAGGTTTATCTCAGTCTGAGTTCCGAAAGCCAGTTTCTGTTTTCTGAAGCATCAAATCGACTTGCAGTTGTTCATTATAGTTTTAAGTATAACATATTTTATTTTCATGCAAATTGGTTCATTTGGAAAAAAAAAATTTAGAATGATTTTAGTGGGTCATCATTTTCTCCCATACAAATTTGACGAAAATTCCGAACAAAATTGAAATCCATAACGCGACCTCTTAACGTTGACCAATTTAGCTGATTCTTTGCACAGATGTTTGTTTTTATGTTATGAACTGAACTATCAAAAGTATCAATCATTTTCCAGAATGAAACACCCTACTCTACAACCTTAGATGCTTTACTCAATCTCCTTCCTCTACATAAATTTATTCATTTGGATACAGTGAACAGTGCTCTGAGGCTCAAACGGTCCATGAAGTTCTTCGATGGAGATCTTATTGGACATTTGAGCTTTCTGAAAGAGTTTCAGATAAGTCCATTAGAATTGATGAACGAAGATTGTATGCTACAGCGAAATTATTTCAACCATAATTTCCAAGTTCCTGATGTGACTCGCGTTGATTGGGATGCAGGAAGACTGAATATTCGTTCAGGATCATTAATTTGGTATACAGACGGCTCAAAACAAGATAATATGCTGGATTTTGGTATTACCGGCCCTGGGGTTAACTTTTCGGTGTCCACGAGAAAATGGCCGACGATATTTCAAGCTGAAATATATGCCATCTTAGAATGTGAAGTGATTTGCATAAAAGAAACTTTAAAAATGCAAATATATGCATTTGTTCAGATGGTCAAGTGGCGCTGAATGCTTCGAAATCAAAAACTTACCCGTCAAAACTGGTGTGGGAATGTACTAAAATATTGCAGCAACTGTACTTACGGGTAACCTTTATTGGGTTCATGATCATTGTGGAATCGAAGGAAACGAAATCAATTGGTAAAAAATGGGTCATCCATGAAATTCATTGGTCCTGAACCATTTTTTGGACTTTCTTTTTGTGCTTTAAAAATGGAGCTAAAAAACTGAGAAAAAAACAAAGGTACAGTACAAGTAGACCAGTACCTTAAATTCTCGGCAAGCTAAACGGTTTTATAAAGCCGAACGCTTTTCGTTCAAAAAATTACTTATCGTTTCTTAAAAGATTTGAGTACATACACTGGTTTGATGACAGGACATTTTCCTGGTAAATATCACCTGAAAATCTTTGGTAAACTTCATGAAGATAAATTTCGCTTTTTTAACTAAAGAGTGAACGCCAAGGGGTAAGCCAACTGTACTCAGAGTTAATATTTTTGCAGCGAGTAAATTTGAGTAACTCATGATTACTCAAAGTTGATCAAAGTAGTCACACATTCATCAACAAATAAGAATTAAAAACTGTTTTAATAAACATCAACTGTCAGAGTGATCTTTTTCGTAATATTTTCATATATTGATACTAATATTAACCAGGCAAATTTAATTCATTTACAGCACATTAGCCAGAAATGCTAAATCTTGAAAAAATTATATGTTCAGGTTGTGTGACGTTAAGATTATCCAATCCAAATGAATCAATTCACAAATCCGTCGAAACTGCTGCGAAACCGTGTGAGGGTCGCTAAGGGATATTTTAGCTTGGATTGGATGATTAACTTGGAGAATTGTAGAGTCAAGCGGAAGCCTTTAGGTAAGAGTGGACAACAATATAGAAAACTAGCTAGATAGATATATAGCTCCACAGAAGATGCCATTAACAGTGAACTCATCGTCAAAACATCCAGAAAGGTATGCATAATGATGGACGTTTTAAGCAAATTTGGGGTCTACAATTGTAACTGTAAACTACAGTAATTCAAATTACATAGATCGAGTTTATGAAGAAGGAAACTCAATATCCTTCTTGAGTTTCCTTCTTTATTTGAATTTACCTAGCATAAAGTTTTGAATAGACAAATATGCTTAGACGATGAAAAGCTTCTTTTCCATCGATACCGTGACAAACTTACTGGAGAATGGAATTTCTTTTAATTAATATACCAGAAAACCATGTGATTCCTAGATGTGAATCAGGCATTCCAAAATAAATACAAGGGTTATTTTCTTAGTATCACTAAGCTATAGTCGTGATGATGCCACATGATGTTATACTAGAGAAGTAACGGGTTGCCTACAACATTTTTTAAACGATTTTCAATGGAAAGGCCAAATCTATGTTAAAAAAATTTAACCAGGAGCAGCCATGGCAAATCATTTACATTCATTTGCCTCTAACTTTTTCCATCAAAAGAATTCCGTTTAATGATGTATGAAACTTATTTAGGCTTTGATATTAACTCTAACTTTTGCCGATAACTGAAATCTGTACCTCTTATGCATGACGAACTAGAGCGGGCAGAACTTGTCACTATTTTTCAGTGAATGTAATTTACATTCACTGAAAAACATTGGTAAGTTCTGTTCGTTCCGGTTCATCATGCATAAGATATACAGATTTGAGTTATACAGAAAAGTTGTAGCTAATATCAAAACCTACAAAAAAAAATCACACATTATTTCATGGAATTCTGTTGATGAAAAAAGCTAGAGGCAAAGGAATGTAAATGAATGCACGAAATGAATGTTAATGATTTGCCATGCCCCCCAGGAGCATTACCTAGAATAAAGTTTTTTTTTATATTACTCTGTTAAAGATATTATGACAATTTAATTTACTTTTCTTAGATACGTTAAAATACTTGGATTTCTATAATGAAGGCAACACTCTAAGCTACGATTACCTAAAATTATCGGATATTTTTACCGATAAAAACCGTTACTTTTTACTTTAAATTGGATATTTTTACTATTGATTAGAACATTTTTAACGTTAATTATTGTTAATCCATAATAGCCGATAATTTAGGTATGTGCACTTTCTTCGATTATCGGTAATACTTATTTACCGATATCTAGGTATTCTTTACCGGCTTTTAGGTATGTGCATCTTAGCGTGAATCTTCTCCATGTTGATGGTGATCATTGGTCTTCATTCAATTCAGGTGAAAAATACTTAGTAAGGTTTAACAAAAATGTACGAAGATAAGGATTCGAGGATAGTGATCCAGTTTGATACGTCAATGGATGGTGATGGGTTTGAAACTTCTGAAATGTTTGCTACGTCAAACATCTGATGGCACCATTTGGGAAATAAACACGTACACAAACAGGTTGCTGTGCTACCGTGCTTTCAATAATGAGCAATTCGAGTTACTCAGAGTTACTCATAACTAACTCCAATATTACTCATGATTAAAAGCTGTCTTGCCCCTAGGTGAAAGCTCTGAACATTTTCTGTGTGATTGTGTTGCACTATTTCATAAATGATGCAGATATGTTGATAAGAGTCTGATGGGACCTTGGGAAATCTGGGCTGCTGCCCTCTTTTTTTCATGATTTGTTTTCCGTCCATCTTGTTTTCCGTGCTGAGCACCAATGCTACCGACGCCAGGGAGGCAGCTCCCGCTCCTGGACCCTACCTATCGACTCATCAGCTCATAAACCGGGGACCAACTGCTTTACTTCCCTTCTAAACGAAGGCGTGATCAGAGACGTTATGCCTTAGAACATCCCGGTGGCGCCGACTGGGATTGAACCCAAGCCTGCTGGGGTGAAAGGTAATCACGCTTACCACTACACCACCGGCACCGCTAGGGCTGCTGCCCTCAATCAGGTAGTAAATTTCATGAGGAATGTATTACCTGGTTGCGATAATTACTTACAACAGTAGTGGTAGTTACTCAAACAATAGTGGCTTAGCACTACGTTATGGCATAAATAAAAAAAGGATATGGTCGCGGTGGTATTATGTTCCCAACATAGGAAAAAATGAGGAAGCATAACGAACTGGACCCACAAGATTAACGAAAGGTTCTTGAGTTCATGCCTAAGGAAGTCGTAAATAAAATCGATCGAGAAGACTGGGAATCTAAACCACCGTTTTCAGAATGAATGTGTTTTAACGAAGTTACTGTCAATGTTTGCCAAATATTGATGATCAATTTTGCTCTTTATCTTTAGAAAATCATTTTGCGCGTCGTACAAAGGCTAAGTATGTTAGGATTTCTTTCTATTCTATGAAACTGTTTGCGTTGATTCATTGAGGTATTTTTATATTTTTATAATTTTTCTCACTTTTCGTCATTATTTTGCGTGGCGTAAATTTGTATACATATAATCAACTGGCAGTTCCAAAGTTCTTTCCTCATCCGTACTCGCCGCTTAAGACCATCATTTTAATTTGGAAGACTTGCCCAACTCTCGCATGGCAGTTTTGCATCTTAAATTTCCACCCGCTATCTTTACTACTTTATCTCTCAAAACGAAATGCCTGCTAATGTCGTAAACGTGTGAGTGTGGGACTCTGCGAAGACAAGTACATTCTACAGGCGGAAAAGCGATCCAAAGGGGGAGGAGCAGTGCATTTTACGATTTCGAAAATCACCTGTGTCATGTTTGAAATTCTTAACGAGCGCTCTTTCCGAACGTCTACGGAGTTCTATGTGTGTCCGTTGTTGCATGGGGTAATAATCGTAAAATTAATTAGACTTAATGTGACATACTCCCCGTCTCGCTCCGCTTGCAGATGTGGGTCTTCGTTTTTTGCCCCTATTGACCAAACATGATTATTTCTTCTATTCATTTTCGCGAGAGGAACGTACTATAATGGTTTAAACATTTGTCGTGTCGCTGTGGATGGGTCTAATCGTTGTGCACGGGGGAATGTAGTTTATGTTCAGCTAGTATCACTTGAGTTACGGGGGGAGAATAGCAAAATTAAACACTGGACCATTTGCATTGGTCCACTAAATTTATGACTATTCTGAGAAACATGTACAGGTTACAATTATAAATAAACGCGCGAATATATTTATGTGCTACGAACGGTGATGGTGCTGAAGCAGTCCGAAAGGGTAGTTGTGGCTAAGGGTATGCGCTTATCCGGCTAATTTTTCAGGTCATTAATTTTGTGGTGCGCGGATTATTCTCGTTTCTTGTCGCGTTTCGCTCCATACTGGCATCGAAGATGATGATGATGATTAATTGGGCAACGAAACTATGCAAGCGTTTCGTTGGTTTTTCCTTCTTCGGGGCAATTAAGGTGCACTTAGCGGTGTACGATCTTACATGGTTTTATATAAGAACTAAATGGGAGAACATGGTTCGTTCGTTCGATGTGTCATCGTGAGTTGAGTTGATGTGAGGGATTTTTTGTTGCCCTTACACGTAGTATCTACAAGTGATCGATACGTGGAGGAAAAACGAAATTTTGTCATGAGAGTTCTCGGCTAATCACGTGTGGAGGGTTTCCGAAACACTCTTGGGAGGGTGCTGGATCGATTGTTGGTAGGGGTACTAAACTTAGTACTTGTATCCACCGGAGTTGGCACCGCCCTGACCTGGGCCTTCTGGGTATTTGGCTTCACCTTCGTACGTCACCTGAAAATGGAAGTGGTTAGCATTGTTGGTGAAGTTCTTGAAATAATCCACGGTTTGAATGCGCAAATATCGTAGAAGCAGAAGGTTTTTAGGACTTAAACGATTAGGACGAAAAATTTAAAAATAAATAAGACTATTCCATTCTTCGAAGGTCTCATTATATCCTAGAGGTTCTGTAAGAATGTAAGCTTTCTGAATATTGAAATTTCTAGGAGTTTCAAAATGTTTGGCTGCCCAAGTTTGGAGAGTTCTTGAAGATCCGTTAGCTATTCCATGGAGATCCATAATTTCTCAGAATGCTACACACAAACCAAAAATGTATTACATTGAATGTTAGTTGCATTTCCTAAATGTTAGCTCAAATAATAATTACTGACCATAGCAAACAATTATTCAAAGTTTCATGCAAATCGGAGATTGTCGCATCAGATCGATTCGACATTTGGCGTCCCAAGTAACAATTTTGGTTTTATGAGGATTCTGTAGACCATGATTTAGATTTGTATCATGCTTTAAAACCACTATAAAACTTGCAATGTTACTTGGGGTGTAACTGCTAAGTTTTCATGTACTGTGGAATTATTTGGGCCACATTGCGCATCTCGAAACGAAATACTTTTCGTACGAATGCTTGTATGAAAAAGTTTTTCGTTTTGATATGCGCAATGTGGCCCCTGGCATATCCTACAACTTCTAGAGCTTCCGGAACATCGAGGATTATTTGATCTACACAGACTCCCAGTATTCCAAAAAGAAAGTAACGAAGCATCAAAATGTCCAGAAGCTTACATTAAGACTCTGATCCATCGAAATCTACAATCTTTCGATGTCCTAGGATCGGTTCATCAATTGAATTTTTAAATCCCATATTGGAAAATTTACGACTCTTTCGTCACCGCCATTAAACGCATTTGAAATCATCTGCTAGGTCTGCGATCTAACCAGGCATCCACCGCCTCTGGGTTTCATCATCGAGTTTACGGTCTGGTAGGACACCCGATCTCTGTCAGTTCTCGAATATCTGCGACTCCATAGTGACCGGGTTTGCTGACCAAACATCCATCGTCTCTGGAATCATTTGCTAGCTCTACGGTCTGGTAGGACACCAGCTCTCTCTTTCTGTCAGGTAACAACACCAGTATGTCTATCCGAAGACGCCAGTACCAGTTCTCGAAGATCTGTGGCTCCGCTGTCACCGGGTTTGGTGAACAGACAGCCATCGGCTCTGGGATAACCTGTTAGGTCTATCGGTCTGACCAGACATTGCCACCTACGTGATTCTCTATTAGGTTTGGAGTCTGTCAATAATTAAACGGCTCTGGATTTTATCATCAAGTCTACGGTAGGCCAACCAGACATCCATCGCCCCTGCGATCATTTGCTGTATTGGTAGAACATCAGATCTCTGTCAGTTCTCAAAGAACTGTGGCTCCGTTGTCACCGGGTTTACAGACCAGACAGGGTGGCTGTCTTCGGGATTCTATATTCAGTTTACGGACAGTCCAGACATTCAACGCATCTGGGTTTCATCATCAGGTCTTCAGTCTGCTCTCTGTCAGGTAACAAGATCGGTATATGTCTGACTGAAGACGCCAGTCACGCTGTGCCTTCATTGTTGTTCCAGTTCTCGAATATCTGCGACTCCGTTGTTACCGGGTTTGCTGAACAGACATCCATCGCCTCTGGGATAACCTGCTAGGTCTATCGGTCTAACCAGACATCTGCCACCTATGTGATTCTCTGTTAGGTTTACGGTCTGTCAATAACTATACGGCTCTGGGTTTTACCATTAAGTCTACGGCAGGACACCAGCTCTCTATCAGGCCAACCAGACATCCATCGCCCCTGGGATCATTTGCTGTATTGGTATAACATCAGATATCAGTCAGTTCTCAAAGAACTGTGGCTCTGTTGTCACCGGGTTCACAGATCAGATATCGGGATTCTATATTCAGTTTACGGACAGTCTAGACATCCAACGCATCTGGGTTTCATCATCAGGTCTTCAGTCTGGTATGACACCAGCTCTCTGTCAGGTAACAAGATTGGTATATATCTGACCGAAGACGACAGTGACGCTGTGCCCCTAATGTTGTTCCAGTTCTCGAAGATCTCTGGCTGTGTTCTCACCGGTTTTGCTGACCAGACATCCACCGCCTACCGGATCTTGTGCTGACTATCAGTCAGACCAAACAATCACCGCCTATGTTATATGGTCTGTCCAGGTCTGTGCCGTCATTGTTACCGGGTTCGCTGACATGGACATCCACCGCGTACGGGAATCTCTGTTAAGTGCATGGTTTGTCCAGACATTCAACGGCTCTGGGTTTCATCATAAGGTCTGCGGTCTGGTAGGACACCACCACCGTCAGATAACAAGATTGGTTTATGTCTGGTTGAAGATGCCAGTAATACTGTTCTAGTTCTCGAAGATCTGTGGCTCCGATCAGACACCCATAGTCTCTTGGATTACCTTTTAGGTCTATCGGTTTGACCAGATATCTACTTCTAAGCGATTCTCTGTTAAGTCTACGGTCTGTCCAAAATTTAACGCCTCTGGGTTTTGTCATCAGGTCTACGATCTGGGAGGACATCAGCTCTTTGTAAGGATTTCTAACCAGACATCCATTGCCTCTGGGATCATCTGCTGACTATATGTCTACGGGTTGGTAAAATACCAGATATCTGCCAGTTCTCAAAGAACTGACGTTCCGTTGTCACCGGGTTTGCAGACCAGTCAGCCCTCTCTACGGGGTTCTATGTTAGCTTTACATACTATCCAGACATCCAATGCCTCTGAGTTTCATCATCATGTCTAAGATCTGTTAGGATTCCAGCTCTCTGTCAGGTATATGTCTGACAAAAGACGCCAGTTGTGCAACATATGCTTTCAGTTCTCGAAGATCTGGGGCTGAGTTCTCATCGGGTTTGCTGACCAAACATCCACGGGATGATCTGCTGTCCAACGGTCCGACCAAACAACTGTCCTTGTCACCGGGTTTGCTGACTTGGACAGCCAATTAAGTGTATGGTCTGGCCAGACATTCAACGCCTCTAGGTTTCATCACAAGGTCGGTGGTTCGATAGAACACCAGCTCGCAGTCAGGTAACAAGACTGATATATGTCTTGCTTAAGACGCTAGTGCTATTGCGCCATTAACACTCCGAATACGGTGGGTAAAATACTTTACGCCGACTACGAAGCCTCCGAAAAACGTGTAACAGCAAGTTTGCGATGACATAACTTAGCCATTTCTTGATGAATTTCAAAAATTGTGGTACCTCTAAAATTCCTAGGCTCTGTAGATTATTTAAATTGCAGAAAGATTGAAATAGGGTCGTCTACTTTTTCCAAGAGTCGTTATACGTTTTTTTTAAAGGTTTTGCAAGTGGCTTAAGCTCCATAATTTAGATTAATGGGCCCAAATGTTCATAATTAGCCAGAATACAGTCATGGTTCCTATATATGGACGCTGGAGATAACGGAATGGTCCTCTAAAGATCCGGAACATCCGTAAAAGTGGTCTATCCATAAACCTGATCCTAGAACTCCACGGTTTTTTTTTCGAAAACATTAGGAACTGTGATATAAGAAAGAATTTGGGTTCATGACATAAACATGGACCCGGATGGCCATCGGATCGTCATCCGGAACATCCGGAACATCCGTAAAAGTGTTCAATCTATGAAACTGATCATAGAGCTCCACTTTTTTTTTCGAAAACATATGGAACTGTGGAGCTCTACAATCAGCTTCATGGATGAACCACTTTTAAAGATCTTTCGGATCTTCCGGAGGACGGTCTCATAGCCATCCGGGACCACGTTTATTTCACGACCCTAAATTCTTTCTTATATAACAGTTACTAGTGTTTTCGAAAAACAAAAATCTGCGGAGCTCTAGAATCAGTTTCACGGATGGACCACTTTTATGGATCTTCCGGATCCTTCGGAAGATGATCTAATGGCCATTCGGGTTCATTTTTATTCACGACCCAGCATTCTTTCTTCTATCACCGTTCCACGTGTTTTCGAAAAAAACCACGGAGCTCTAGGATCAGTTTCATGGATTGACCACTTTTACAAATGTTTCGGATCTTCCTGAGCAAGCTCCCATGGCCATCCGGGTTCGTGTTTATATCATGAACCCAAATTCTTTCATATATCACAGTTCCTAATGTTTTCAAAAAAAAAAAAAAAAAACCGCGGAGCTCTAGGATCAGTTTCGTGAATTGACCAATTTTACGGATGTTCAGAATCTTCCGGAGAACCGTTCCGTATATAGGAACCATGACTGTATCCTGGCTGATTATGAACATTTGTGCCCGCTTATTTAATTTATGGATCTTAGGCCACTTGCAAAACCCATAAACACTCCTTTAAAAAAAAGTGTAACGACTCTTTTCGCTTTTGAATAAAGTAGAAAACCATATTTCTAATCTTTTTACAATCAAAATAATCTACAGACCCTATGAATTCTAAAGTACCACAATTTTTGAAATTCATCAAGAAATGGCTAAGTTATACCATTGCAAACTTGCCGTTACACGTTTTTCGGAGGCATCGTATTCGGAGTGTTAATATTGTGCATCATATGGTTCCAGTTCTCACAAAGTCTTGACGTACAATAAGTTTTGAACGATTCACAAGTTCTGGAGAGCCCTGAAGAGTTTGATTTTATAGGAGTTGCTAAAAGTTATTTTGCTCTAGGATTTCTGGAAGTAGTACGTGGGCTTATAAAAAACTAAGGGACTTGCATGCCATGACAAACCCAAGTAACAATTTTAGTATTATGAGGGTTCTGTAGTCCATGATTGACCATGCAGTAAGCTTCAATTCCCCGCAGAAGACATAATATGAAAAGGTATCAGATTGATCTGTTTCACTTCAAGACGATGAAAGGGTCTTGAAAGTCTAGATTAAATATCCTTTAAACTTAATCCGTCCCATTTTTTTATTAGAAAACCATTTAAACTCACCTCCGCGTTGTAGCCGTTCTTCCAGTCGGCGGTGTAACGCACAATCTGGGTCCGTCCGTCGGGCAGCTGGACGCGGTACTCACCGCGGGTCACATCCCCATCGCTGACCGCGTTGTGCGAGTAGTCGTTTCCGGTATCAATGTCGTTCACATTGTAGTTGAAATCGAACGGCATGCCCGGTTCGTGGACGTGCTAGGTTTTGGAAATTTGAAGTCGATTTTAGAGGGATGTTCGGAATCGGAAAATTAACTGGAATACTCACATCACCACCAGCCGCTGGTGGGGGTCCATAGGAAGGAGCTGGTGCAGGTGGTCGCGGGAATGGAACCTGCTGTGGTTGCTGGGCAGATGGGAACGGCTGGTTGGGCTTGTCGTAGGCATATCCCTTGTCTGGAGGTAGGTACTGGTTGTTCTGTGCTAGCGTCTGATCTACGATGGTCAGTGCCAGGCATAGTGAGAGACCCTGTTGGAGAAAAACCAAATGGTTAGAAATGCAATTGAAATGCGTTTTATTACAGCAGCAGTGAAATCAGCTGAGCGAGGTCTAATGATTTAACATCCCACAAGTGTTGCAGTTCCACATAACTTGATTTAGGTTAGGTTTGTTTGCGAGATCGTGTACAATTAATGACGGAGGCCTTACTACCATCCTCCCACACGTTGTCAAGTGTCGAAATTGGCGCGCTCTATAAAAACAATGACCTATTGAAGTAGAAAATGAAGGGAGATCTCGCAGTACCTTCTTCAGTAAAGTGAGTACAATGTGGCTGAGCTGAGGAAGATAAATGAGTCACGGAGATGGTCCCTTCCTAATCTTTCCAAACATCGCAGACAATGGAAAGGGGTCTGATCGTCGCAAATTGTAACATGCACCGCCGATGGCATCATTTTCGATTGCAGTAATTCCCTCCACAACGAACGATTGCAGCTCCAGTGAGAAGGGTTGATGTTCTTCCACAGCACCCCCCCAAACTATGGGATAGGTTGAAACAGGTGGGTTCGGTTGACTTCCGAAGAATCGTTCTTTGTCGCAACGAGCTCTGCGCTAGAACATTGGCAAACAAAGGTCTGTGTGCCACCTTAAAAGGTAATATCTCATCTCGTTAATGTGTCGACGTAAATCAATGCGCTTCTTCTACTTCCAACTATGCTGAGCTGCCGCAGGGCGGAGGAGTGCTCTGCGGAACGGAATAAATTTTGATTTACTACAACTCATTATCTGCACATCGGTTGCAAAAAGTCAACCCCGATTCGTACCCCCGAGCGGGTGGTGCAACCCATTGATCACAGTTGCGCCGTGTCGCTTCCGAAGGTTCCGAACCCTTCGATTGCTGCCGATGATGGAATGAAACACCATGCGTGACGGGATTGTGCCTTCTTCGGATAGAGAAGCTAATTAAAATTAGTTTCTATCTATCTCTCTCTCGGCGTCGTTGGCTAAATTGCCTGTCAAAGTTGAAGGAAGGGATGACAGTTCGCGCCCAGAAGCCGGATCCAATCTGAACCCAATAGCCGTCGAGGTCGTCCTATGCAAATGTGCGGTGAGCGGGCTGGCGCGCACTCAATCGATCAAGTCAGGCAGACAGATTGACAATCTATCTAGGAACTAACGGTGCTGATGGTGTGGTGCAACATTGTATTGTTGTGCGTTGTCAATTAGGAATTTTAATGGGAATTTTTTCTTTGTTTTCATATATGTTTCTGCAGGTTCGCCCATTCACGTGCGTTGATGTCGTTTGAATGTTAAGTTCTCTGTATAAGGAGCTTAACATTCACGGTGTCTGTCTTTGACGAACGTTAATTTACTCCATCAATCAATTGGACTAGAATACTTCTTCTACTTCTTCTTCTTCTTCTTCTTCTTCTTCTTCTTCGCACTTCAAGCTTATTGCTTATCGCATATTAGCTTATTGCGTTATCTTAACTTAGTGTTCTAGATGCACTTCCATATTTATTAATTGAGAGCCTTCAATGCTTGTAGCATTTTTGCATTAGTATAATTCCGGAGTGATTTGAGATTTGAGCGTAATTGCATTTGTAAACAAACACGTCAATCACCGATTTCTCGCGAATAAAAGCTTAATCTCGAAAACTAATAACGCTATGAGGTAGAGGAATGATTCCTCTATCATTTGGTTTAGTTTGTTTATGAAATTGAGCTTTATTTCAAGAGAAATTGGCAATTGACGTCTTTGTTTACAAAAGCAATTACGCCCAAATCTCAAATCACTCCGGAATTGTGTGACAAGTACAGTCATACTCTATGCTCAGGGAGCCGAGAAATTTTCCATGCTGAAAAAAATACTAGGCCGAACCGGGAGTCGAACCCAGTCAGCTCCAGCATGGTTTTAGATTGTAGCTACGCCTTTACCGAGTGAGCTCAGGAAAGCCCTGTTTGGACTAGAATAAGGGTTGTGAATTTATGTTTGTCATGCTCTCATTAGTAGGTAACGCTTTTTCCTTTAATAATGTGAAATACCTATTTGTCACATTCAATGATTCCTAATAAACCTTAAGGTAAGTCACAGCGGAAGCCTTATTTCAAATCACGCTCATTTTACCTCGAAATTTCAAGAGCACAAATATTGGCTCTCACAAAACATACAACAATGAAACTGAAACTTAACGTTTGCTACAATGCAGCACACAAGGAGTTCCTATTTCATAAGCGATATCGCAACAGTGCCCGAGATTTGTGCTCTAGAAAACTTGAAATGATAGGGCACATCATGACGGCCATTTTTGGATACTTCAAGGACTCATCTTAAGGCCGTTCGCAATGCTGAGTTACAAAATTGTGTCAAACTACTCGACAGTTATACAATTTCAAACTATCGAAACTTCAACACGATCAGCGCAACGCACATTCTTGAAAGGAGTTTGGTATTCATCCCTACATATGAGTGCGTTTGTTTGCTTCGGTGATTTTAACACAAACGAAGAAGGTCATTCTGGTTCAAGAACATGTTTCCTGGAACAATATGATTGCAATAGCGTACTTCAGCGTCAGGTAACGAACTCGAAGCACGAGAAGAGGACCCGGAGATTCCGGTGGCCATCATATTCAAAGCTACGGGCGCTGATTCGCATAAGAAGATTAGGCAAGTGGTAAGCATCGATACGGACACGCAGAAACGGTTTGCCGATTCGATGCTGAAAACGGTCAATCTACGCAACAGTGGACTCTGGAGTCCATGGGGTTGAAGCACCAAGTATAAGACAATGGCCGACTAGGCAAGAGATTTGCAGGCGGTGAGCAACTCGTGAATCGCTAATGTAAATTTTCTTCGCAGGTGAAAGCAACCTACATCTCAGCGTTCTAAATGATGATCAGCGTAAACTCACAGTTTTAGAGGAGGCGGAAGGATCGGTGCAGTCAAGTCTATGAACATACGCTGTGTCTATCGGGCATAGGATAATCTTGAACTTGAAGCTTTCGGTTTGGCGAAGAACTTTGGATTTGGATTACCTATACCGATAACGTACAACTTTCTCCTACAAATGTTTCACCCTCAAATTGGCGACAAATTCAGTTCTCTATAAGCTCAAAAAGTGGGGGGGGGGGGGGAGATCTTCCCTTCAACAATTGCGGAATGTCGCAGGATATAATCATGAACTCAAACAGTTTCTTCGCGTGTAATAGTCGGTAAAGCACTTGAACTTCAATATAGTGAAACTGGAGTTTTGGATGGTACATTTCGATACGGATCCAAATGCCAAAATCTACAGGATGATATAACAGTTGAAGATTTTTAGAATAATAATTGATCATCCAGAAATATTGGAAAAATATCCAAAGAAGTTTTTGGAGAAATCTGATCACCTAAAGGTCTATGGAATAGTTCATAAGTCACGAGGTGTCATACGAAGATATATGAGAGACGCAATTTGAATTATTTTATACCTCCAGAATGGTACCTATTTAAACTGAAGGCTTGAAAACATATCTTGAGGAATAAATGAAGATCCCTGATCACCTGATGGCTTTTGGAATAATTTCTGAGCAACCTGATATCATAAAAGAAAATCTGAGAGACGTGATTTGAATTAATGAACAGTAGAAGATTCTCAGAACAATTGATTAGCCAGAAGTATTGACAAAATATCCAGAGAAGTTTTTGAGAATCTCTGATCATCTGAAGATCTTTGGAAAAATTATGAGTCATCTGGTTTCTCTTACAGCTGAGAGACATTATTTGATGGTACCTGAAATATTCTGAGTAATTTATAGAGATCTCTGATTACCTGAAGGGTTATGAAATAGTTTCTGAGTCACTTGGATTATAAAATATCTTAGCGATATGATTGGATTGTTGAATCTGATTGGTCTTTGTACACATTTCTGAGTAATCTGGTATCGTGGAGTGAGAGGCAATCACACTTACCACTATACCATCGGCACCGCTTGTAACCTGAGGTTATCATGGGTATCTCTGATCACCTGATGGTATTCGGAATAATTTATGAGCAACCTGGTATCATGAGAGAAAATCTAACAGTTGAAGATTTTTAGAATAATACCTGATCATCCGAAAATCGTGAAAAAATATCAAGAACACCTGAAGATCATTGGAAAATGTTCTGAGCAGTCTGGTATCATATGAGAGAATAGCTGTATGATGTAAATGGGTTCACATATAAATAGATGCATTGATTCAAATATTTGATGAAATCCGATGCTGTTGATCACGGGTCGTAAGTGTTGTCACTGGTCGTGACTTGTCCAAGGGTGATATTTAAACTCGTCACTTGGGTGTGATAGGTATGGATGCTAACCTCTATGCCGGGGTCGCCCCCAAAAGTCGTAAGTTGATACACTTCTTTTTCAAGCTTATCGTTAAGAAACAAATCATCCGAAAAATTAAAGTGTTTCAAGATTATAATTTGTCGCATTATGTTAGATTCTACGGGGAGCTGTAAAACGACGGGGATATAAACTTTTGCATAGTGTAAATGGATGGATCGTTTTCCGCGCCAGTAGGCAACCAAATCGATAACTCAAGCAGCATACCGTAGCTAGAACCCGTGCTTGAAAGCTGTATGACAGTCTCCTGACCAAGTCCGGTGGTTGTATACTTATGGATGATGAAACCTATGTAAAGACTGACTTCGGACAGCGTCCAGTGACTTACATTTTACTGCAGATTAAAATTTGTTTTAGCGGATAAATTCGCACGCAAATATATGATCTGGCAGGGAATTTGCAGCTCCGGCCAAAAGACAAAGATTTTTGACACTGAGAAAATGATTTACTCGGAGGTTTACAAAACCGAATGTCTCCAGAAGCGAATTCTGCCCTTCATCCAGTCACATGATGGTCCGGTGAGATTTTGGTCGGATCTTGGGGGTTGTCACTACAGCCGGGAAGTAAAACAATGGTACAATGACAACGGAGTCCAGTTTGTTCATAAAACCCTCAATCCGCCTAATTGTCTCCAGATCAGGCCCATTGAAACTACTGGG